TAAATTCTGCATAAATGTACATGGGAATGTACAGATAACGCTCAATACCGGACGCTGTGTCTCTTTTTTCCATAAAGCCTATTTTTTTGTGCCGTTAATTTACCATGGACTTATGTTTAGCATTTTGGCTAAACACTCAGTTGAGCTGAAGAAAACTATGTGTGTGTGTGTGTGTATATATATATATATATACATATACATATATACACACACAGAGTATATGAACATGCATACATTTACTATGTTTTTTACCTGAACCACAACAAAATGCATCCACAAGCACTTGAAGAGAAACTGTTTAAAAATCACTTTTGTCAGAGTTTAGAATATTTCCACTGTGTTTCACTCTGGTCCTCAGGGGGCTCTAGCCCGCCCCCGTCCACACTCTAATGGTGCTTACTTGGATCAAGCCGAAATGATGAGAGATGCATGATGCAACTTGTCTCTGCTTGTCTGATCCTGCAACAGAGTCGATCTCTCTGCATCAGCGTTCTCTTACTCTAGCAACAATGTAAAGATGGCAGAGTGGCTGCAACTCCCTCCGTCAATGTCAAGCTTAGGTGGCAATGAGAATTGTGCAGACTCAACCCCAGTCTTGCCAATCCCCCCTCGACACTCTGTGTGTTTCCTGTCCTTTCTCTTGCTGCTCTGACTGAGGGGAATAAGAGACTGTCACAAGTCCCTGAGAGTCTCTTCACACAGGAGTTACCCAGCAGGGAACTGACATCCGTACCATCCATGCATTTTTCTGTCTCACGACCTGAATCACTGGATGAAGTACGGAGTGCCGAGGTGACAGGATTTCCTGTTTCTGTGAGTCTGACAGTCTGGTCACTGGCCATCGCCACAACTGAACCCATGAGACAGAGACCGCTAATGCTAGCTAGACACCTCCCCCTCTGTAAGATATAAACTTTATGTTAGCTAAATGCTAAAAAGCTCACAATGTCAAAAATGCTGAAAGTTAGCAGGTATAATGTTCACCAGCCTACTTCAGCATGTTAGCAAGCTAGCATTAGTTTTGAACAATAAATTAAAGATGAAGTCAGGAGATCAACAGAGATTCTACAAATTCAGCCTGAGGAGGAAATAAAGTACATGTCAATCCATCCAATAACTGTTGAAAGATTTGAGTCTGGACCAGAGTGGGAGACAAACCAACCAACATCACCATCCTCGGAGCCACACAGCGTTGGCTAAAAAGAGAACAGTCAAAACAGATTCCCTGGCCTTAGTCTCTAGTACGGGTCAAGACCTAAAAACACTGACTCCTACATTTCCCATAATGAAACCTTTTGAGGTCTAACCTTTTGTTAGACTTGTAAATATATTTGTATTACAGACTGCACACCAGTTTGTTTAGTTTGGTTTACTTTAGTTTTTTCATTTGATAGAGACAATGCAATTTAACCTAGTTTCAAAACATGGTATGAAACTATTGTTTACAGCTGTTGCTAATTCTCCACTCCGTCTGTAGTTGGGCTTCGACATGCATGATGTAATTAAAACAAACAGTCAATAGCAAAAACAACACAAAACAGACAACACAATTGATATCCTACAATGAGCTACAAATATTCAGATGTTCAGTCTAAAAAGAGACAACAGCACAACAAGCTACAAACCGTCAAACAAAGACGATTAACAATAGATACAATTACCTAGAAATGAGTACAGCTCTGGTTTGCTTTTAGCAGCACTTAACCTTTGCAAGGCTTTCCATTATATTTTTGTCATCTCCGACCTCAAGATGAGATAACACTGGTGCCATCACCATGACATCATCAGATGTTGGACTACTCCAGACAGAGCCACAAAAGACATTATACAACTATTGTTACCTGTCATGTGGAATGGTGCTCAACATGGCCTTGATGTGTAAAGGCAAATATGGTAGAGTCTCCCTGTAACCGGATCACAGGGAAGATTTTGTTTCTTCAAGTTTTCAGGATTGAATATAAACCACGAACTGAGGACTGAAACCCGATTTGAAAACACAGTAAAAACAACTTTAAGATCGCAGATGTGAAGCATCGTGCGCTTTTGACAGTGCAATTGACAAACAGAGCGTGCATCAACAGGAATGTTGACCTGACGGAGAGATCGCCAGTTAACACTCCCAGTGTCAGTCCACACTGCAACTCAAGCACAAATACGCATTTGAGTGATTCCATGACGGTGGAAGTCGACAAACACACCTCAAGAGCTTCCAGGAATTGGAGGCCGTCTCCACGGAGGAGGTGGGAGATGTAGTGCTAACAGTACGAACAGAAACATCACAGCAGGTACGGCTGCTGCTCCTTTCTCACAGCTGTAACATGAAAGCCTGTTAGACATCAAATAAACAGCTCTTCGGTGTGGATTCCACAGGGCCGAGCGTCTTAACAGCGCAGACTGGAAAACACTTGAGTCACACACATTACGAGTCGTCTTACTTCTGAGGGAAACTATTCTGTGAAAGCATTTACACCACTCTCAGCAATAGCTTTTTCTAAATGACTCATTAAGGTTGTTGTGCTAAAAAAAAAAAAAAAAAAAGTCCAATGACATTTCACTTTAATTATAGGCTGTCTTTTAGTGCAGCATCTGTGAAAATTATAACCCATGCTTTTAATGGATGCAAGACAAAGCATCAAACACTAAAAATGCTTAATCCCTCTAGATCAAGGTCATGCACGGACCTCTATTTTCATCCATTTTCATGTCTGTAAATTTGTAGCACACACACACACACACACACACACACAAAGATGCATTCAGAAGACCAGCCTCCTGATGATGATCACTTGAGGATAAATTAAGATTTTTACATGTCAAATAAATTGAAGGGCCTTTTGGTTTGATTGTGCTGAGCACTTCCAGTAAGTTGTTTGTGGCTCTACAATGAGCAAAATCAATTGATATGATGACTGAAAACTGAAAATTGTTGCAGTAAGAGAGGCACAGCAGTGTTCACCAACCAGCACGGACCAATCACGGAGCAGAGACGCTCCCTGTTCATTCTCTGATCCTCAGAGTGGAGCTGTGCTTGACATAATATGGGTGAATGATGTCCAGGCCTCCATGTGAAACTGTTTAGGACATTTATTACAGACACTAATATAGTTAGAACAATAAACACATAATACTACACACATTCACACAAGGCAAGGACAGACAGACACACACACACATACACACACACACTCTGCTGGTTTCTTTCTCGACAAACCTTGTTCAAGTGATTTCCCAGAGGGGCTGAAGGAGCTGGGAGCTGTTGACATGTCCTCTTTGTCAGTAGCTGGGTTGTAGCTCTGGTATGATTACCAGAGCCCGCAAGACGAAGTGTTAAGGGGGTTACAGCCGTCAGCACATTCAGCAGCCAAAAGTGGCCAAGAGAAACAGAAGTGATACTGGGGTTGCTAATTTACACAAAGCACAACAGTCGTCTCGAGCATGAAACATGCAAACATAAGTCAGAAATGTTACATCAAAGCAATCTTCTATCAAAATAAGCACGACTGACCAGACCAGAATTTTGATTCAAGAATCAGCAATTTCTGAACAGGACAAAATGTAAGGCAGTCACATGATGCTGCGTTGTTAAGCTGGGAAAGATCTCTCTCTTAGTCCTGATACAGCACTGTCGCACCACAGTGTGTGTCACAGTCTCATTTCTGGTATTTAATGCTCATAAAGTTGCATACAGAACAAATGATATGAACCCACAAGAGGGAAGAGAGAAGAACAACTCCGCAAACGCAGCGCTGAGTAAAGCCTCTGGCCATCTCAGCAGAACTCGTTTTAAATATTAGCATGTGAATATTTAAATCATCACACTATAAACAAGACACAACTGGAACTGGCTTTGCTGACAAACACTATGCAGACAAATCCATTAGGCAGGGTTTAGAAGAAAAGAAAGAAAGTGGAGACGCTGCAGTAATTTGTTGCATGTCATTCTGATACTTGCTGAGTGTTTTTCAAGGTGCAGCGCTTGAGGAGTCGATTCAACTTCAAGTCATCCTTCAAGTCAGTTCAAAGGGAAGCTTCAGCCCTGCGCCTCCTGAACGAGGATTTAAACAACCTGTGAACAGGGTTACATGAACACCACTGGAGGCTGAGATGAAGCCATTGTTTTAACCAGACACCAAGTTCCTTTGGAGCAACGAATGCCACAGAGACAAACAGAAAAAAAAAAACAGGTTTACACTCACCTGGATGAGATCATTTAAAAAAAAAATGTAATCAGAGACCAAGTGAACATCTTTAAATTGCTTTTCTTGTGCATCCAATAGTCTGAAAGCCAAAGATATTTCATTTGCAAACAACCAGAGAAGCTGCAAATCCTCTTATCTGACAAACCAGAACCAGCAATTGTTTGCCGTGTTTCTTCTTGAAAAATTACCCAAATGATTCATCAATAATCAGAAGCCTTATTGCTGGTTAATTTCCTATCCACTGACTGATCAATTAATCTGGAAAACCTGTGATCAAAGCAGACATCATCCTAATTCCTAAAGAGCAAACTGAAAAGAAATCCCCAGATTACTGGGAGCTCCTTCACGGGTCCACGGTGGGACCCGGAGCTCAGTTTACAAAGCAAAACAGTGAAATGCCCTGTGTGACTGTGAGGCAACATCATGTCATGTCAGGTGCATGATACAGATCAGTGGCACATTACTGTCGTGCATGCGTGCTGCATTTCGTTGCAGCTTCCAATTTCCCGGTGCAAAGTGCCCGCCCCTGTGTGTAAAGTGGTAAAAAAAAAAAAAAAAATCCCCAAAAAAATCCAGTGCAACAAACTGCAGAGGATGCACTATCCGTACGTACCCGCCACTGAGCAATTCACTGAGTATCAATAAAACACGGCGGGGGGAAACACGTGCACTGAGATCCAGCTGCATTGCACAAGGGCATATTCAGCTCCACTTGCCCACATTTACACAGCAGCGACAGACCCCTGCAAGACCCGAGGCAACACGCACTCGCACCGAGATGATGTTAAAAGTTTCACTTACCCTAATGAGCGTGTTTGAGCCCCTGAAGCCTTTCAGTCAGAGGGATCGAGAGGGATGTCCCGCTTGATTCTCCCTGCTCACAGCCGATCATTCACACACACTGACAAGAGACGCATCCGCACGGGCTTCCCCCCCACCCCGACACACACACACACACACGCACACACACACACCCGCACACACACACACACACTAGATGTGTGGCAGGATCAGCCGCTGACCTGAGATGTGTCCCATGTTTCACACCCTCTCTTCCGGAAAACACGGGCAGACCAGCCCACACACTACAGTGAAGCCACGCAGAGTGAAGACACCCAGCGGCTGAACGTACACACAGCCCGCAGCAGGCTATTGTTGCAGCGCTGCAATGTGCACAGGGCGGCAGAGGGGCCGGCCACAAACACTTGGAAACACACTGACTGACTGCTTTTGTCGCACATCGACAGCTCACAGATAACCCCAACTTTTATTATTCGACAGGGAATGACTCCATGGGTCCTAAAATCCGCCATGTTCCCGCACCATGACCAGCCACCCCTGAGCTGTACCACAGTATCTCAATTACCGCTTTATACAGTAAGGCAGCCTATAGCGTTATATCTCTATGTGATAAGCTGCAGCATTATACCCGCAGTGAACAGATCAAACGTTCACAGATGACACTCTTCCATTCTGCTCCTCCATTACAGACTGGATTTACCACAAAGTGAATGTGGTGGGGAATGTGTGATTGCGCCTCTACTGGCCATATTCCTCCTTTATTATCCAATTGACAAAATTCACTTGAGCATCTCAGTGATTAGTGAATTAGTGATCTAATTACTCATTCTCCACTTTATCCGACTGAACATGTTGTAGGAACAAATTCATCAGCTCCGGCCATCAGAATCAATTTAATTCCCAACAGATACGTTTGACCTTTATTTCCCCCAGGGAATATTTGCTGAGCAGTGGTTCTGTGCCTCACAGTCAGATACATACATATACATGTCAGGGCTGAGCCATGAGTTCTACTGTCGCCTCACACTGTTAGACACTGAGCGATAAATAAAGGAGATTGGATTTAGAAAGAAATAAAACAGGAGTCACGTTGCTGCCCAAAACATTCTTCTCTTTGAGAGTATTTTATGTATTATTAGATATATTGCGCAAGATTAAAGACCTGTCTTTAGTTTTTACAACTGTTTTGGTCAAATTTGACCCATGCTGCCATTTAAGAGCATTAAAAACTATGTGAATGAAATTCTTTATGCCTGAAATTTTATGACCTTTCCTAAAAAATGTTGTATTTTCATGTAGCCGGTACACATTTTTACTCATGCATTAAAAAAAAACTGTGTTAAAAAATAACCCAACCCTAACCCCACCTCTGATTAACTGTGGGGCAGAACAGGTGCTGGGTTGGGCCAAGCGTTGGGTTTTACCATTTAACCCAGAATGTTGTTGTTCATTTGACCCAACCTGGTGAGGGAAATTACCTCTATATCTGGGTCACATATCACTCATACACTAGGTTATTTCCTGTCTCAATGATCTGATACTATTATCACAACAACAACAACAACAACAACAACAACAACAACAACAACAACAACATTGGCATATTATACAACTATTATTAAATGTGCATTTTAATGACATTCTACACATTTTCTGCAGGTTATCATGCACGAATACAAATGTAAACAATACACCTGATGCTAGAGAAGCTCCCAGGCGGCGAGGCACTGCCTGGTGTAATAGATATCAAACATGGAGAATCTGTTTCGATGGCGCGGCCTGAAATAATAGTGAAGGGCTGGCACGTTGTCATCTCTTCCCCAAGGTACAAGATGTGCAGGGACGGTTGACTGGTCTCTGCATTCTGTAAACACTCACCATGTTGGTCTCCAGCTGTTAATTACACATCAGTCGCTGAGTGTTGCAATATAACTGACATGTAAGTTATCAAGCTTATTTTGTGGAAGTATGTAAAAAAATAAAACATCGCAAAACATTAAATTTGTAATTTGTGAAGTAATAATTTAATGTTGATATTTGTCATTAACATTAAAAGACACACAACTGTTAGCATATAACTGCTTTTTTGCACACACCAGCTCTTACAGGCAAAGTGTTTAGTTTATTCTCATTTACTGGTTTAATTTTATCATCTTTGAGTCTCGTATTACATTCACAGTTTGTTTGTTTTTTTTCCTGTCAAACATTCTGGTCCTTAATTACCTTGAGAGTTATCAAGCAGGCGAAGCAGTGAACGTCCACCCTCACTGAAGCAGCTAATGTAAAGTAAAACTCACTGTCAGTAAATGACCCGTGGGACTCGTCAGTGGTGAGTCTGAAGACTTTTCCTCCTCTCTTGTGGAAGGATGGGGGACGCAGAGTTGACACCTTCAGAACTGTCTCATCTTTAGGAAATAAACAACTAATACACAGTGTTGCAATAACATTTAAATAGTATGATGTATTAATATTTCTGAGCCAGTATTTCTGCCCTCTCTGATCTGGTGTATGCTGTCTACCTGCAAACAGCAAAGTTATAATTACCAGCTGATACTGTGTCTGAAATACAGTCTAATTCCCAAAATATTTAAACTGTCGAAACTGTCTTTCACTTGTTTGTTTTTTCATAGATTATGATTATATTACTATAAGAAATAGCGTCCTGGTGTCATGTCTTCCAGCACTAAGTGTAAATTTCCTCGCTTGGGCATACATAATGATTGTGTCAGTGATATCAAAAAGTTTTCCCGCTAATTTATCTAAACATTAGATTTGTGGTGGCCAAAGTTAACAACTAATGCTATTGAAAGTATGTGAAAAGATGATTTCTTGTGACCGAGAGAAGGAAAAGTGTACAAATCAGACCCACAAGTTAACAAGTTAGGGACAGATCTGGTGCTGGGTGCACCAAGTCTCTCACTGAATGACAGAACTTGAGCTGCTTATATCCTAACTTGATCAGGGCGTGGTAACTATCATCTGTTAACCTCAAAACCTTTCTCTCAATGTTTCACTTTTATGGCTTATATCCTCCTGGAAGTACATGCATCACTAAATCTCTGCAAGGATGTAGATAACCTCCTAAACACCAATATAACCATAAAACTTAGATGTGTGACAGACTCCTTGATATCCTGCTCCCCCAAAGGTCAGCAGCTTTAAGGTTCACATTCTTCACATCCTAAAACCAAAGTTGCCAACATGCAAAACAAATACAACCTTACAGTATCTTTTATCTAGACATTATAGTTAATGGCCAACTTAGCAGCTAAGGTTACTGACCTTTTTCACATTGCATTCAGTTTAGTATCAGTACATTGTCATTGTCAGCAGATAACACCAGCAGCTAACCTAACTCTTACTGTTGTTCATTTTAAAAATAGATTGGTAAGAAGCAGAATTAGTAGCTAATGTGACTGTCACTTTTTCCTTTTCCGTTAGATTGTTGGAAACTTAGCAGCTAAAGTAGCATAGATTTTTTTTATTTTGACATTAAAATCTTGATGACCAAATTAGCGGCTAATGTTAAAGACACCTTTTAAGATTTTATCTAAACATTAGATCTGTGATGACCAAAGTTAGCAGCTATAGCTATTGAAAACATTATACTTTACTTAGATATTAAAATTAATAGCCACTAAATCAGCTAAGGCTATAACATTTTACTATTAGCATTACTATATATTACTATTGGCAGGCAAAGTAACTGTCATTGTTTCATTTCATATCAATATTACATTTGTATTAGGCAGAATTAGAAGCTAATGTTACTGTCACTTAATATTATGAAAAGAATACTCAAGTACAAATACATATGTTTAGCAAATGTATGTATATATATCTACTGTACATTCTACGACTGTCTGTCCCCCACAGTCCGCTGTAGACACTGCACAGTGTATTAGACTCTTTATCAGCACTACAACTGCAGTAACTGCTGGACCGAGCGTGTAGTGGTTTTTATGGGTGCTCTAGCCTTCGAGAGTTGTCTCTCTTCCCCGTAGCAGCCGTAGGGGAAGTTCACAGCAAGTTCATTTAGTTTCTTGGCAACAGCTTCAGCCTCACAGCACAACACAGACTGACACCACGGGATAAGGGGCAGAATGTCCTCCCTCACAGCACAATCACCCCGCAAATTTAAAGTCTTCCTTTCTGTCTCGAGGCGCTTTTCTAGACGTGTGTCCTCACACAGCCCGCTGCACAGCAAGTAGCTTCTGCTTCTTCTCATATGAGTCATAGTGCAAATCAGCCACAGCCAAGCCTTGTATGTGCATAGTACGACCAGCTTAATATAGGCATGGTGCATGACCAGATGGTTTGCAGAGATCTGTGACCCCTGTTTGTGTCAGAGCTCCATCCTGGTTCAACAGTAGTGATGTTTTAATGAAGCCTCGAGTGGGAGCCTATAATGAAACCAAAGTTTTTTTTTCATGTGTTCCTTTGCAAAGAACTGTGGTCAGTTTCAGAAAAACAAAGACATGAGTCACAGAGAGAAAGAAAAAGAGAACGGTCCTCAGTTAATCTCAATCTCCTCTCTGACTTTTCTTGTCGTGCAGCTCACATTAGCCTTTGTTTGTGCTTGTCATGTTTGCATTGATTTTGTCTGTCATTTTAAATATGTGTCCACAGCTCCGAGGGTCTTCTTATTCATCTGCACAAAGTCCAGTTTTTTTCTTGCGTTTCATCAACATTAAACTTTGATTTCAGTTTAAATATATATATATAAAAAAAATACTGAAATTGCCAAATAATGCTTATCACAGGCACTTTTCATGATTGTGCGTTTGGAGTGCCTCTCTCCTGTTGCTGTGGCTTTAGCAGAGCATCCAGTTTAATCAGAGGAAATCTTCCACCTTGTTGTTCGGGCAGCGGTCACGCTGATATAAAATTATCAGCAGAAAAAAACACATAATCCACTTCAATTAAAATTTAGACAGAAAAAAAAAGAACATCTTCTATTCCAACACCTTTCTCCCTGTGTTCGACCTTTCCACTGGTTCATTATTGCATTAAGTTTTTTTTTTTTTTTTTCCAGCAGCTCCCTGGCCTGTGTGTTTCACTGGGACACCGG